GGGGGGGGGGGGCTTTCTGGCTCCTCCTTTTTTTTTTTAATATGTAATATTTTTACATGCTGCTAGTGAGAGAACCTGTTGTAAAAATATTTGAATCCCACCACTGATTACGGATAAGAATTTAGTGTTACCTTAATAAAAATCTGTATTTCGTAGTTGTGGAGTAGCACTGACACATGAGCAGGGTAAGTGTGAATTTGGAAAGTGACAGTTTACCTAAGCGACGAATAACGGCAAGAAGAAAATGTAAGCTTGGTTGACATTTGTGGCAAAAATGTATTTTTTTTTGTCTTGAAATGTATTTAAATATAGTTAATGTTTTAAAGTTTTTTCTACGATATTCACACACCTGTGCGAGATTTAGGCCTAAAGTGTTGTGATAAGACTTAACACATTTTAAAGTCAGCAACCAAGTACTCAAACTGGTGTGGATAATGCAGATCCATCAACTCTGCAAAAGTTAACTAGTGATAGGGTGATAACGTCACATCGAACAGAACTGAAAAATGTATTACTTTCCTACTTTAGGGCAAATATATCATAGCCTCAATAGAAACAAAGGTTGAGAAGAGCATTTGCTGAATCACTGACGTCTGAAGAAGTTCGCGAGCGCATGCTGCAAAAGTCTGCAAGGCCACAAGATATTCAATAGTTCAGGAATCAAGTCTTGATAACAACAAATCTCTTGATGAAAATAAAGATAATGGTGATATCTCGGATGATCTGCATAATTATTTCACATTATCACGGGCGCCCGAATTTGCCCCCTCCCTACATTTCACACACACACAAAAAAAAGTAGGTATTGTGATGTGTACTTAGCATCGTAGTTAAACTAAGTACTCAGTATTTTTTTTATTAAAACTGTAAAGTTGTGTTTAACCAAACAAACTTTCTTTTATTTAGTCTGTTGACTTAGAATGTAAAAGTCCCGGTGGCATAGCAGTATGTCTGCGGACTTGCAACACTAGAAACCGGGTTTCTATATCCGTGGTGGGCAGAGCACAGATAGCCCATTGTGTAGCTTTATGCTTAATTTAAAACAAACCAAACATGTAAAAAAACCTGTAACATTTGATCCCCTACATACATGTTTAGCCCCCCCCCCCCGAAAATATTTTGGTGAGCACCCAAATGAAGAATTAGAAGTTATAGATTACGTAGAGGAGCAGTAATAAGGAGATCAATTTCCAGGATGTGTAAAATTCCTTGAGACACGAAGTTGTGCAACTGCAAGTGAAATGGCAAGTAGTGGATTATACTAGAAGTAGCCCAATAAGGTTTGCTTAAATATCCTTCACATGAAGAATAATTTGACTCTTCTCTGACACTAAATGTTAATATTTTTAAGACTTTGGCAGATGTCAACGTTATCCCTCTCGCAGTCATTAACTGATAGAAGATTGGGTTATGTAGTGACAGTGTTACCCCAGAAATGGGGAAACATTAACATTGTCACTCATGCAGGGTACAAAATAGTTTGGTGAATTTGATTAGCCCCAAAATTCGGTACTTTCATGTGCATTCTCTTATTTAAAACTAGCCAATATTTAAAAATATGAAACTTTAGGTTAATTAAGATAAAATAAATAATAATAATGTGATAATTTTTCATGAGGCACACATGCACTCGAGCAGCTTGCAGTAGCTCATGGGTAATGTAATTCGATAGTATAACGTGAGCTGCACGTTCCCAAAGTGGTTTACACCTGATAATAACGCGAGTTGTACAAGTAGTTAGACACTGTTTAAAGAGCAATAGAACGAACCTTGTTACTTGGCCAGTTACGGATTTCAAAATCAGAGGACTTAATGTTGTAACTACAGCTGAAGTATGTGCCTTGTCCGAAATTTTGCCGAATATAGCCTTAGGTCCTTTTATAGTCTCTACTTGGAAAGGTTTTACAAGAGATTACACTTAAAATGTGCTATGAATGATAAATAATTACACATCTATTCCGAATACATCTCCTCACTATTTAGTTCAGATTCTAATTGTTCCTTTAACTAATATTATAGTTAACCTTTACCGGATCTAACAAATTGTAATCTGTAGGCATCACAAATACACCGATTTTTAATTATTTATTGATGGTATCAAGTACCGTCGGTAAAGTTTAGCCCCAACTACACTGAAGCAAAAAAAAACGCACGGAATTAATGTTAATTTCTCTTTATTCAGTACAGGCCTTAAAGTTCCAGGCTAAAGTCAAATTGTATGTGCCAGTGTCTGCGATTAGTATTGTTTGAGAAATCCTCTATTTAAATATATAATGTTGCAACAAAGATACTACTTTGATCGCAAATGTTTTACGGGTCTCTGCCCCCCCCTTTTTTTTGTTGTTGTTGTCAATTAATTAATTAATTTCAACAAACAGCAAACAATTTCACATCAAATTCTACATGGAAAGTCTTGGTTCTATAAAAGTTGAAGTCACTAAAATCCCTGTTAGGAAACGAAGGGATTCGCTAGAGTAACCATCTTAGTATATAAATATTACCACATAATTCTACAAGGATTGTGGATGTTTGCTAGTATTTGTTAAGCACAAAAGTACACATGTATAAAGTGTGCTCTCTCCACTACGTGTATCGAAATCAGTTTTCTAGCGTTGTAAACTTTGATACTTACCGCTTAGCCATTAGTGGTGGTGGTGTGCGTAAAGATATTATCCACGTATAACTGGGGTATCTTTCGCGAAAAATTAGGGTTTTTCTGCAACAATGAGGTACCTGTGAAACCCGGATGTACTTTAACAAGCGGTAGGGAGAAAATGTTTTTAAAAAGGGATTTCCACCCTAGACGTACGGGGGCCCCTCTGCCTTGTCCGAAATTCTACTCTGGTTACGGCGTTGTAAATAATCAAAAAATTCCACATTCATCTCGTTGCCCACGAGGCTTTTAGATAAATCCCCGAATTCGTCAGTTGTGATGGGCTATACTCACTCCCGCTATAATAAAGTGTCTCCCTGAAACGCTATTTAAATGCAGTAAAGAAGCTGAAATTAACGGTTTCAAACACTGAAAACCGGCGAAGGATTGAAACAAATGGGTAAATTAAGATAATTGAACAATCTAGAGCCAAACGCGTTTTTCATAAAAAAAATATTAGACATATTAATACTGCATATGACTAGCAATTTAAGGTTTGAGTTTGTATTGCTTACCTCCGCCATTATATTTTTAGTACCAAAATATTTTAGGTCATTTTTTTTCAGCTAAATCTTTTGTCATATTCTACTTTGCTTTTATTTACTTCGCTAACATTGAAAAATCAGCTATTATGAAGTCACAAATATAGACACACACACACACACACATACAAAAAACTATATATACAATGACAGCTAAAATTGAAAGATTTTAGCTTCTGCGAGACCCAGCTAAAGTATTACTGTTACTAGTATTAGGAATTTAGACTTAGTGCAACTCCATTCGTTCCGACATTGCTGAAACATGCATTTCTCAGCTAACATCTGTTATAGCATGGGCTTTGTTACGAAGTACAATCCACTATATTTTAAGTTCAAGTTTTGTATAGTTATGCTTTTGTTTTATTACCAATTTCATTCATTTAAGCATGAAAACTTCTTGCATTATAATATTCATATCCTACGCGCTAACTAAGTAACTTAAATGCCAACATACGTTATTCACCTAGAAGTTCAAATAAACCACATATAAAAGGATTAAGAGTAGCTAAATTTAACGTATTCTTTAATATGAACAAATTATGGCCTCTAATACTCTTTGGAATTGATATAAATTTACTGACCATAACGAACAACTCTACACCTTATGTACCCCGCCATGACTTGGTTGAGTAACTTGTTCATCAATAACGCAGTTAACATTAAACTTGGGCAAGCATAAACACAAAATTCGTCAGCTAAAGATGGCTTAAAACCTTTTTTGTATAAGAATCACTGACGTATGTAAAATCATGCCAACACGAAGTTACTATATTTGCATCCCAAACAGTGTTAGAGTTTCTATTTTCATCATAACTCGAATAAAGGCGTATAGAGATTCGAAAATACTACAAACCTAGTACAACAGTACAAGTTACAACTTAATCGGCAAAGATGCAGTAGCTTTCCTACCCAAATAAACTGACCTTGATTCCGTGAAATCTTCTTGAAATAATACACATTTGTCGAAAGAACGACATAATTATCTTTTCCCCTTTAAATACTGCTTGTTAAATAGACAAAACATACAATACAAACAAGACGAGTAGTTATCCTCTCACATCTGTTCCCTCACTGCTCAACTACAAACGCGCAGATCTCTAGTCGGCCCCTTTTTATCTTGGGTGCACCCACATGGAAAACGTTATGATTGGTTGCCTTCGAAGGATTGGCATGGTGACGTAATATAACGTGAAGCGTCAGTCGTACCGTGCAAACTATCCATGTTTCCTCAACATAGCACTTGGTTCTTTTTTACGAAATCACGAGTTTCTAAAATGTAGAAACCTAAAGAACAGGCAAAATAATTTTATCTCATAAGTAGGCAAAATATTCATTTTGTAATATTGTTTATGGGCCCTACTTTACACTCAAGTAGCTTCGGAAACATTCATGGTAAAAAATTGTAAATCGAGAGCATTGTCATAACTTTCTTGAAAATTTTATTATGTTTTCAGTATATTGTTTGTTAAGTTCTGTTAGTCAACAATGAAGCACAAGCAAATATTGGTCAAAAGAAAATTATTTAAATTAAGACGTCACATTATTCAGTTTTCTTAATATATACATGTAAATATTTTATATTCTTTTAACTAATTTTCGAAATTCGATATACTTTTTTACTGGTAAAAGACTAACACATTTCAAATAATTAATATACGTATATATGTGTGTATATATATATATATATATATATATTGTTACGCCTCCTGTCGTTAG